CCAGTTTCAAGTCTCTCAGCTAACAAATGTCAGATCTTCTCAGGTTTTTATATTTAATTTTTGGTTTATGACTTAAAACTCCTGGGAGATAAAAACCCACCTTGTTTTACATCTCAATTAGTGATATGGTTGATCTGCATGTTGATTTTTATCTTAAAAGTAGTGTTTTTCAAAAAAATTTAATGTGCACTTGAAGGTTATGGCCTGCTGGGTATTTGACACCCCCCACACCCCCCACACCCCCCTCTGCCTTTTTCCTTCTTTCTCAGTGATGAATACAGATGTGAGAGCATGGAGTAGAGAGAATAGTGAACTTCCATAAGCTATCTCCACATGAAGTACACTAAGACCTAGAGATATGGCAATTATTTTACAGAATTCAGAGATCCAGGTTTTGGACCTTCTATTTGCATCGCTTAGATAGATAATGCATTATTTTTGCTAAATAAATGTACTGGGGTTGGGGTCCTGTCCTCTTGAATGTGTGTGTATTCTTTGGCTTCAAACCACAAGCCAGGCCTTGAGTATATATCTGGTATTCAGCTGTCTGTTTGGTGATCTGGCCTAAAATTCAAAATTCTTCCAAAATTCTGGTGTAGCAGAGATAGTAGTGCATCAGTTCTCTTCATCACAGTGAAGAGGGAGTGTCTGTGTAGCTATGTGCATATGTGTGTTCTTTGTTTTGTTTTGGAATTTTTATGGGGTTTTTTGGCACCTTCTTACTAGTCTTGTCCCAGAGCAACTCTTAGTGCCAACTGACAGGATTTTGTTGAGTCTACATTGGGAAAGAGAGGCTATAGGATGAAGTATAGAAATAAGTATTTCTGTAAGCATGTAAGTCGCATAGTAATACCAGAATTGGATAAAACTGCAGTAATGTAATACTGCCAGTAGTAAAAAAATAGATGACATGTTACTGTTAATGGAAACTTAATAAAAGTATTTCAGATTTACTTTATGTAAGAACATCTTTAGACTTTTAGATTTAAATTATACTGTGCACCAGAAAATTGCTACAGTGCTGTTCCCTTTCTTTTTGTGATTCAGATACAGTAGGAACCTAGTGCTCCAGTCTAGCAGTTTTCTTGTCTGAACTTTGGCAGTCTTA